AGAGGCTCTTTAGTTCTTCTTCACCCTCTGCCATTAGAGTGGTATCCTCTGCATATCTGAGGGTGTTGATGTTTCTCCCTGCAATCTTAACTCCAGCTTGTGATTCTTCCAGCCTGGCATTTGTATAAGTTAAATAAACAGGGTGACAGTATACAGCCTTGTCGTACTCCTTTCCCTATTTCAAATCAATCAGTTGTTCCATGACTAGTTCTAACTGTTGCTTCTTGGCCCGCATACAGATTTCTCAGGAGACAGGTAAGATGGTCTGGTACCCCCATCTCTTTAAGAATTTGCCATGGTTTGTTGTGATCCACACAATCGAAGGCTTTTGCATAATCAATGAAGCAGAAGTAGATTTGTTTTGGAACTCTAGTGCTTTCTCCATGATCCAGCGAATGTTGACAATTTGATCTCTAGTTCCTCTGCCTCTTCGAAACCCAGCTTGTACATCCAGTAGTTCTCGGTTCACATACTGCTGAAGCCTAGCTTGTAGGATTTGAAGCATAACCTTGCTAGCATGTGAAATGAGCACAATTGTGTGATAGTTTGAGCATTCTTTGGCATTGCCCTTCCTTGGAATTGGAACGTAAACTGTCCTTTTCCAATCCTGTGGTCACTGTTGCGTTTTCCAAACTTGCTGGCATATTGAGTGTAGCACTTTAACAGCATCATCTTTTAGTACAGTGGTACCTCGGGTTATGAACTTAATTCGTTCTGTGACTCTGGTTGCAGCCCGAATTGGTTGCAACCCGAAGCAAATTTCCCCATAAGGTCCAATGTAATTACCATTAATCCGTTCTGGCATGAAGGACAGGGAGGCGGCTATTGCTTGGAGGGAGAGTCCCCCTCCCTACGACTACGTGTCGGGGGCGGAAAAATGGCCGTGGACCACATGTCAGGGGCGGAAAATGGCCGCGGACCGTGTCACAGGAGGGAAAATGGCCGCATATCCTGTTCGTACCCCGAGGCAGAGTTCGCAAACTGAAGCAAAATTTTGCGGTCCGAGCTGGTTGTAACCCGAAAAGTTCGTTAACAGAAGCATTCATAACCCGAGGTTCCACTGTATTTTAAATAACTCAGCTGGAATACTGTAATCTCCACTAGCTTTGTAGTTAGTAATGCTTCCTAAGGCCGACTTGACTTTGCTCTCTAGGATGTCTGGCTCAAGGTCAGTGATCACACCAGCATGGACATCAGGGACATTTCGATCTTTCTTGTTTAGTTC